GTATAAGCCATGGTCAAGCAGTCATGGATCGAGTTTGGTAGTATCCTAGTGTCTTAGTTATCTAGTGCTGCTAGAACAGAAAGACCATGAGTCAATGGCTTTAATGAACAGAAATTTATTCTCTCAGAGCTTAGGAGGCCAAAAGTTCAAACTCAGGGTGCCAGCTCTAGGGGAAGGCTTTCTCTCTCTGTTAGCTCACAATTTAGGAGGAAGGTCCTTATTTCCTTTCAACATTTGAGGGCTTCGCATTCATAAGCAATCCCATGTGTCTTGACATCAATGTTCTTCTAGAAGAGTCACAGTGCAGGGACCCTGAATCCAAAGGATGTCCTCCACTCCTGCCTCTTATTTCTTGGTGATACTGAGGTCCCTCTGATCTCAGCTCATTTGTTTGTTGTTGTTATTGTTAGATTCCATTGAGTTGGATCTGACTCATAGTGACCCTATGTACAACAGAACAAAACAGTGCCCAGCCATGCACCATCCTCACAATCCTTACTATACTTGATTGCAGCCACTGTGTCAATCCATCTTGTTGAGGACTTTCCCCTTTTCACTGACCCTTCACTTTACCAAGCATGACATCCTTCTCCAGTGTATGGTCCCTTCTGACAACATGACCAAAGTAGGTGAGATGAAGCCTGGCCATTCTTTCTTCCAAGGAGCATTCCAGGTACAGTTCTTCCAGGACAGATTTGTTCATTCTTCTGGCAGTCCATGATATTTTCAGTATTCTTCACCAACACCACAATTCAAAGGCATCAATTTTTCTTCAGTCTTCCTCATCCATTGTCCAGCTTTCACATACATATAAGGTGATTGAAAATTCCATGGCTTGGGTTAGGTGTACCTTAGTCTTCAAAGTGACACCTTTCAACACTTTAAAGAGTTTTGCAGCCAATTTGCCCAGTGCAATATGATGTCTGATTTCTTGACTGCTGTTTCCATGGATGTTGATTATGGATCAAGGTAAAATGAAATCTTTGACAACTTCAAAATTTTCTCCATTTAGCATAATGTTGCTTATTGATCCAGTTGTGAGGATTTTTGTTTTCTTTATGTTGAGGTGTAATCCACACTGAAGGCTAATGTCTCTGATATTCATCAGTAAGTCCTTCAAGTTTTCTTCACTTTCAGCAAGGTTGTGTTATCTGCATATTGCATGTGCATTTTCCTCCAATCTCGATGTCACATTTGTCTTCATAAAGTCCAGCTTCTCAGATTATTGCTCAACAAACAGATAGGTTAAATAAGTTTGGTGAAAGGATACAACCCTGACACACACCATTCCTGATTTTAAACCATGCAGTATCCCCTGACTCTGCTCAAACAACTGCCTCTTGGTCTATGTACAGATTCCTCACTGATACAATTGAGTATTCTGGAATTCCTATTCTTCCTAACGTTATCCAAAATTTGTTATGATCCACACAGTCAAATGTTTCTGCATACTCAATAAAACACAGGTAAACATTTTTCTAGGAGCTCTGGTA